CCCCAAAACCCCAAAACCCCAAAACCCCATTTAAGATACAATATATTGAAAAAATTAGTTGTCTAGATCCAGTTTGTATTCCTCCTTCATTGGATCACCCTTTTCTTCTGACTCTTTACTCTTCCTATAAAGGATCGATCTTGACTGACTTGTAGGATTAGCAACAAACTCAGGTTGGTGGTTGTGCTGGAGATAAATATTCTTCACCTTAAGCTTGTCAATATAAACATGAACAGATCATGGCTGGAATATTTTATCGTCTTCGTCTGCAAAGATTGATTTCTTCTTCCTCTCACTATGGTACTGGCATCGGAGTTCATATCTTCCTCTCTTTACTTCAGTCTTTTTCTTGATCAATGAAAATCCAAAAATTTTGTATCTTTCTAAGGCGTCATTGAGATCATTAACCGATCGAAATCCTCTTCCTGGGTAAAAGATATCTTCCCCTGATTTTGGAGGATCAGCTCTCTCATCGTAGGATATTAGGCTAATACTTCTGTAGTTTCCATACCTAAATAGGTCTACCCTTGTGCAATGTGCTGGCTTTGGTCAGCATCCTTGGGTCCTTAGGTGGCATAATTCCATATGCTTGTTTAAGGATATCTTTCTGATCCCTTTTCTTCAGCTTTTCTGCCTTCTTGCCATCAGATGGCATATAAGCGAGATTCATTGCATTTGAATAGAAGTAAGGGCTAATATCAACGAGATCTTTCAGCTGGCTTGAAATATTATTCATTTCCACTGAGTCATCCTTCATATAACTTCTTGTGTTCCCAGAATCTTTCTCTTTGGTTCCAGCTATTGTGGAGTCATCCAATTCCTTGGTGGAAGTATCTGTTGCAGTTGACTTCTTTCCTGACTTCTTTGACTTTGATGAGGCCTTCCCCATCTTCATTTGTTCATTGCTTAAATTATTGTAAACCGTAGTGTTGTGGTTTAATTGTTCAATATAGTAAGGCATATTTTGGTATGGCATCCCAATGAATTGTGCAGGATATTGTTGATCCCGAGTTAAATGATCATAAATCATCGGGTTCATACCTTGGTTAATGTTCTGGTCTCGGTAAAATTGGTGCATTGGAAATCCTCCAGGTCCTGGCATTGAGTTCATCGGAGGTCTCAAAGCTGAATAAAATTGTGGTCCGTATTCCCCAAGCATTGACTCATTATGCTCTTGATCTTTCAGCCTTCGTAGTACATTATAAGAGAGTATAGACATTTCTTCATTACTCAGTTGTCACATAGTTTGCAATGACCCAAGATACATATGGTCTTGCAGTTGTATCGCCTGGAGAATGGACAGATAGGTTATGCCAGCTCTCTGGAACATATTTGTTGTTTCTTCTCCTCTAAAAATGTCACAATCATCTAGTAATTCCATCAATCTCTTGGTATCATTTTCTTTCCTCTCATCAAGAGTTTTCCGCTGGATATCAACTCCTTTGGCTATTTTCATAATTTTTGTTCGATTAAACTTAAACTCTGGATGTGAGTTGTAAATCCAGCGTTTGGATTTAAGAAATTCAATTTTCTTGAGGAGGGATTTAACCGTTTATTCCAACTTCGTTTCAATATTTTCAGATTGGATTGGGGTTTTGGGGTTTTGGGGTTTTGGGG